GTTTTGTATTCATAATATGTTTGTTTTCTACTTTTGTATTACAGAAATGTTTATGTATTCTCATTCTTGAATCTGAAGGTACCATATGCATTTTTTTCTTTTACCTTCTTGGTTATGCATGTGCGCTTAATGGCAGTATAGCTACTTGCATCAACAGGTAGACATATGGTACAAAGTTATCGTGTACCTATCTTGTTATTAATGCCTCGTCGTCATGGCCACAAGCCCTTCTATTTCGTATGTGCCTCTGTTAAGCAAACATTTGAAATGTTAAGATACATGCGTAGTGACTCTGTTATATGTATAACATGTGTAACTTTGTGAAGAAACAGTTGTCTTGTGTTCCGACTCGTGTACAACGACCACGAGCATAATGTATCATTCTGAGGAAGTACGCCCACCTTTGTGATGTCATCACAATACTTCCAGTCACCGTGCATAAGTGGGCGTACTTTACAGTTGTTGAGAGCCCAGTGTTCCCAGATATTAATATCAGTGCTGTCCTTCAATCGGACAACATCCACAAACACAATGGTCCTGAAGGGGGCTATCCAACTATCTGACCTCAGTTAGCTTTCCTCTCTCCCAGCACCATTGCTTACCAGAAACGGTTCATTTATGCAAGTGATACAATTTTGCAGCTGTATATTTTTAATGCATAATAATAGAGAATGGTCTGCATGCCCATTATCGTATGACGATTTGCTCAATTGCAGCTCGCTATTGATGATTTTAGTTTCACTGGCGCATCAGTTACAATGTCCTCGTGCTTAAGCCATAATAATTTAGGACCAAACTTTACTTTGGTAGAGCAAAAACTATGTTCTTCTGTAGTGAGCATTGAGTTGTCGGTACATTCATTAAGGCGCTTTGTCGTCGACTTGGCACAGAGGCATCAATGGTGACACTTACTCCTGTGTCCATGAGCCAATAGAAATTAATAATCCATATCCAATAACCTAATTGTGTTAACTCGCTCATACACAAATATATACTAGTATAGGATGTACCCATAGCCCAGTTCTTAAAAGTAATCTCCAAGCCGTTGCAGTACGACTTCTTCCACTCTTCAGCAGTCTTCACTCTTGCAAGTACAATGTGATGAACCCCCTAAACCCTGTGTAACCATGGGCGATCTAAATGACCATAACTCACCCTGAGGCGGTACAAACACTAACACTAAAGGTAAAATACTTGAGGATTTCATCTTCAATAACGATCTATGCATATTAAATGATGACTCCAACACTTATTTGCATCCTGCAAATGGCACTAACTCTTCTCTAGATTTGTCTCTTTCAGACACTAACTTACTAGACGAATTTGAATGGTCAGTCCACAATGACCTTTGAGGAAGTGACCATTTCCCAACTTTATTTTCACCAGTAAGTACATCTGATACTCCTCATTCAACAAGATAGACATTTTGCAAAGGCAAACTGGTCTTTATTTCAGCCGTTATGCACAAATAACTAAAACCCGAGTGTTTCAGTGATGACTTCGTTCTCCTGACATCCAACTAGTATAAGCTGTCCAACTCTAGTGCCGAATATATCTCGCTAGAAACATAATCCTGGAAGAAAACATCATCTTTACAAAATTTACTTTCTTGTAAATTTAGACATAAAGTTACATGAAGGTATGTAAATTCATATACTGCATATATGTAAAGTTGGACATTAGTTAACGTAAATGGAGGTACCAAGGTCAGATACATGTTCAAAATGTTAGAGTTATGTCTAAATTGCATACCTCTCAACAGTACATTAAACGTAACACTTATATATCTGTAATTCCAAATATATGTAAATAGGTGTAGACTTAAATGCTTATTCTATGTCTATGTTTACAAACGGCCATGTATGGTACTGAGCCTAAATGTACACGCCTTTCTGATGTTTGACTGTATTTGTCGTACACGTCTGAATTATAACAGGTCTGTGTCCGATCAGCTGAGTTTAGGCATGTGTACCCGCTCGTAAAACTTTGTCTGAAGCTATGTTAGAGACACTATCTGCTAAGTCTTCTAAGTCAATATCCCAAGGAGCATGGGAATTGATGCCTTAAATTTTATTCAGCCATGACATTAAAGAATGTTCGATTCTGACTAGTTAAAATAATTTTCCATTTTGCTACAGAAACCTCTTTCAAATATATAAAGCCATGACCCACAAAAACGTGCGCATGAATACATCAATAGCCTACATATCGATCCATAGAAATATGGCCGCCGATCATCCATAAGAACTGTATACTGATCCAATATTTCCTCTAGTAGATGCTGGGTCTCTAAAACCAGCCAGGTCTCCACACATGCCGGGTCAACGGCTCTCGCGAAATAAACAAACGACCGACCGTCTAATAGCGGAAATATGGTACGTTTGATATTAGATTTTTTGCGACGATTTTGACGTTGTTGGCCGTAAACCTGACTGCTTCGACGATGAGATTACAAGACTAAACATAGGCATATATTTTGCAGACAAATGATAACGTTTATGAAACTGTTAGGGACATGTTCGGTGTCGAACAGGTAATTTTCTCATTGAAACAAACCATAGCCCAATGAAAGTAAAATATAACATCAAAACTTTATTTGTGACAACATGTTGTTTACAATCCCTTGTGTGATCGATATTCATTGCCATCTCCAACAACCACCAACATTAGGATTTGGTAGGAAGGAATTTGAAAGTCAGAAAACTCTCCTCCCTTCGAAAGGCCACGGAAACCCACTTCCAAACACATGTCCTGACATCACTGAATTCACAGCACAGGCACTTGATCACTCCTGCTTATCAAACATGATGAAATTCATTTCGGAACACGGAACCATTAAGCAAAACAAACACGAACTACTGTGTCAGGGCCACAACCGTTACATTTGTTTAACATGCTGGCGCTCGGTTCCAAATTAAAATAAGAGGTATGTACTCTACAGTGGGACTATGTCAAATTTCAAAACACAATAGGTTTATCTCCTAAGTGACATTCTAAGACAATACAATGTTTCCCAAAATTGTTCCTGAAATTTTCCTATGCGAACACCATTTCATCCTGATTGTTCAATTACAGGAACGTTTCACAGAAAGTGGACTTGACAGCTCATTATGTGTAGTGTTAAGTACCATCATACTGCTACTAACCTGTAGGTCATGTAATCACAGGTGACTTCTCTATTGTTGAAAATAACAACCTTCGTCAGGTATTCTAATATGGACCAAAATATCGTGGGCAGCCTCCTCCAATTAGGATCACAACTTTAATATCATTATAGATGATATCAAAGCATATGCCAAATATGAGCCAAAAGAGACGAAGAACCTGTTGAATGTCTTACAGAGTGGGTTATGTCCTAGCGTAATGCTGACATTCAATCTGGCTGCCCTGCATGAAACGTGCGTGATTGTACCCACTGACAAGGCCTCAAATATCACAAGCATTTAATGTGAGCATTACTACATTTATTGTTTGATTAAAAAACTCAGTTTCAGTGACGAATTTTATCTCTCGGTATTGGGTTATTTACAATTTTGTGATTGAATGCATCATATTTAATAATTTTGATAATAATCCAGTCTCCACACAAATCAATATGGTGACTGTCGAGAGATAGTAATCGTTAATATCCATTTCTACAATAAGCACCTTGTCATTAACACCACATATTTCGTTTTCGATTTTACAGTCAAAATTACTGACACACAGTATGGCAAAAACTTCAGAATTACTTTTATAGGAGCTAAAACAGCAATTTTTGTTTCCCTATTCTACTTTGATATTTTGTTCCATAGTTTTTGTCAATTACTCATCTTGAAAACAGTAGATATTTGCTTCTTTTTTTATAGAAATGTGAACATATCTTTACGTTTAGTTTTATCATTCATACCTCAACAATATTTATTTTCAGTATGTCACCCATTTTTTACATGCACGACTGGTATACATGGAGCTGAAGAATTGTGAGGCATACCACTATACAGGATGTGCAGAGGGGCATACGTAGATAGTGAAAACGGCATAGTTAGAATAGACACAAGTGCGGGCTATTTGTTCTCGTTCTACAGAATTGTGGCATGTGCATAAAATTAAGTATAAAGATGTATGAAGCCCATTTCTGGTGTCCCCCGTGATATTGCTGGAATATTGCTAACAGTGGCGTAAAACCAATCTCACTCACTCACTTCATTTCACACCTTTTGAGGGACAATCGAACATGTTCTTTCTACCAAGATTTCAAAAACTGTAATCCGACACTGTTAAGCAATTCCATGTCTTGAATAGTACCATACATGTATGTTCCTGTATTTTTCAGGTGAACAATTGACTTGCCTTTGTATGTGTTTGAGATGGGCGCCTCCGAAGGGGCAGATCGTTTTGATCTTCAAAATCACATTTGTGGTATTAAATCGAATATTACACGAGCCTCAATTTGATTTTCCGTTTATGTCTTTCGTGAAATAATTTATATATTCATAAAAAGAAAAGAATACACATGTGACATGCATATATAATCAAACAAACATTGAAAATCAATAATGACGAACACATAAATTCCACCAATTGAAAAACTTATGTTTTTGTTAGCTGCTGTTTAATGCCACACTCAGCAATATTCAAGCAGAATTGTCACCAGAATTCACACCATCGATTGCAGAGCAATAGCCCCAACATAATCACATTTGTATGAGAGATAATTGCCCACCCAATACAAAATGGTGCACTCACGCCAGCCACCTATAGGTATAATAGGATGGGAGTGCTGCGCACGTATGAATCGAGGGCCATTAGGTGTTACATATCCATATATAAATTTCATGAGTAAAGCTTGTGTCGTAATGAAGTTCCATTAGCTCAGGAACATCGGACTGAGTGTCAACATGCCTAACTGCACGACAAACAAAAGCCAAAGCGTACAACTCAGTTGTACAATATCAATGTGGTATTATGTAAAAAGTTGGGGATCACTCACACAGTTCATTTAACTGTGTCGTAGAAAGATGAAGCTCCCGTATGTACTGGTGTTGTTGGCTGTGTGTAGATCTGTGGCAGGCAGTATTGACGAGATGAAGAGGCTGTACAGAGACCTGTTTCGGAAATACAGCCCTAAATACAGGCCCTTGTACAATCAGAGTCACCATGTTGACGTTCACTGTACACTCAACCTTCTGTCCATAATTGAAGTAGATCAGGTCCGGCAGATCCTCCAAAGCAACGTCTGGGTGAATCTGACATGGCGGGACGAGTTCCTTATCTGGAAATCTGAGAATTATAGCGGCATTAAGTCCATTCATCCTCCACTAACTGACATTTGGAGACCGAGACTCATCCTAACGGTGTCTCTGGAGGATCGGGACGTTTTCAAAGACGATACACCTGGAATCACAGTTTACAGCGACGGCACAGTAACTTGGTCACCTGGAGCCAACTTTCTCACTGCTTGTAAGTTAGATCTAACTTTGTTTCCATTTGATGTTCAGACATTCGAATTCCGATTTCTTCCTGCCAGCTATGATTCACATGAGGTTAAATTGGTCTCATCATTGAAGACTGCAAACACCAGATCGTTCACATCCAATGGAGAATGGATTGTGTCAAGATCCAGAGCATACACCCGTGAAATAGCTAAAGGCTCAGGTGAAAAACGATTTTCCACCCTTTACATTCAGTTTGATTTTGAGAGGCGTCCAACGTTCTTTCTCCTCAGTGTCATTCTTCCCGTCGTGTTACTTTCTTTTCTCAACATATTCGTGTTTGCACTTCCATGTGAATGTGGCGAGAAAGTTTCGTATGCCGTCACATGCCTTCTCTCTCTAACTTTATTCATGAGCATCGTGAGTGGACTACTTCCAAAATCATCCGACAATATCCCACTGGTTACCATGTATCTTACATGTCTCCTCGGCATCAGCGTTCTGTCGGTTGTCGCCACCATCCTTATCGTCGTGAGAGATGCAAGGAAGAAACCACCGTTACCATTGTTTGTGATACCATGTTTTTGGACGTTATCATTTCCTGGAAGTAAACGCAAGGATACAGACGAGATTAACACTGATGGTTTGGCTAATGATGGGAATCCTAGAGGGCGAGTGACAGGAGGTCGGAGTAGCTCTGACTCTGGTGTATACTGTATATCAGCTGACTGTTTGTGTATGGTCATGTTCATGGCTGTTTGGGTGTGTGTGACTATGGGATTCTTCATCGAACTAAGGCGATAAGGTAATGTCCTCGTGCAATTCTGCCAGTGTGTTAACACTTCAACGATCTGTAACTGTTGTGTTGGATGTTCACCTTATTGTACTGCAGGCAGTTGACCTCCGAAGTACGGACAATGAGTATCAAACTCTTTGTGCACATTGGATATGTCGTTGAACTGACATGAAAATGTAACTTTATCGTGGCGTCATTTTGTCATGTGGTTATCTTATCACCTTACATGTCCTAAAAACAACTTGTCCCTGACGTGTTATTGTGATAACGAAATCTGTATTGCTCCCAGGAAGAACAAGATTTATCATTTAACTAAAGCATTTATCCATGACATAAGCATATGACAGAAAAACGTGTATTTCATACCCCAATGACACAAGTATGCAAATTTGATATGCAAATTAGATAACCGGAAGGGGGACTTTTTTCACCGGTGCGCGTGAGTATGTGTTTTCCAACAACGTGGATACCTTTGATGTTGGAGACAATGTTTTAATAGATCAAAGGGAAAGTGCTACAGTGATATCCGTGTTGACAAATGGATATTACAGGTTAAAGGTTGATTATCCCGAATTGAATTTGATTGTGATAGAGGCAGATTATCAAAACATCCCTGTGGCAAACGTTTCATCATCGAAACGCCATTGTCGAGCTCGGCAAAGCAGACTGCGAACACAAAGTCGAAAGATGCCCAAGGTAGATTTGTGGCTGTTGAGGACGGCGTGGTCGATGGTGTGATCCTAGACAATCAAAACAAAAACACAGCTGAGAAAACTTTGTACGATTTGAAACTGTTTGATAACATTCTAAAAGTCCAAAATGAAATTCGCCAAATGCATGAATGCACTCTGTGAAAAATTACTGCCATATTAATCCTGACCAGCACAAGCAAATATCCAACATCATTTCACGAAACACCCCATTCCACTCAGTGACATCCTAGCTTGTTGATGAAACTCCCGTCATGCAGAGCGGCCCCTCGCGTAATGTCCAAATCGACAGTAGACAACACAGTCAGCGGTCTCAAAGAATAAATGTTTCTGGTGGTGTCAACACTATGTTTGCTGGCAACACTACTGGTGGAAACATAACGATTAATCTCGTTAAACATACAAGCCCGGTCCCAGTCAAAAGACGCCGGATTGTCATTGAAAGTGATGGTGAAACCGACTTATGCATCTACTCAGACCTCTCCTCCGCGAGACATTCTTCAAGTGAGATTCGAAACTATATAAAAGTGAAATTACAACAGAGATATCATCAGATCACACAGAATCGTTGTTGTTACGGTTATTAAAGTTTCAATTATTCTGCAAAAGTCTGTTCAAGTATTTTGTTTAAAATAATCCGAGAAACTGTTTTTCTCAGCGAAGGATTGGTTGGTTTGTTAGTTTGTTGTTTTACGACACACTCATCAATATTCCAGCTATATGACGGAGGTCTGTAAATAATCGAGTCTGGACCAGACAATCCAGTGATTAATATCATGAGCATCGATCCACGCAATTGGGATCGATGACATGCATCAACCAAGTCAGCGAGCCTGACCACCCGATCCTGTTAGTCGCCATTTACGACAAGCACAGTCGCCTTTTATTCATGTTATTAATTCATTCACAATACCACAACATTTTACTACTCCTTAAAACTTTACAATGACTTCAAAATGTACAATAGATTGAACGAGAACAAATGATATATTGCGGATTATTCAATCATTGTCTACATTTGTATCGTTTGCATTGTACAAATAAATTTATTTTGTATTTTGTCTGTCCTTTTACAGGTTTAGCCTCAGATTGTGCTCATTCGAATTAGGAACTAAAGTAATTGCTTATCTTGAATATATATGATACAATTAAAAGTTACTTGTACACTGTAGATCTATTCACTTTTAAAGTAGTATACGACCTTCGACCTACGCGAGCAAGTAGAATGATCCAGGTCAATTGAAACTGAGTTGAGAAGGGGTTAAAAAGGTTTGTATTTGGTAATGTGTAGGTTTGCTAAATATGATTACACGTTTCGGTGTAGGTTCCAACACCGAGAGGGCATACACACAGGTACATTGCTTCCGTGTGTGAATGAAGGTTATACTTGGCATCTCAGTTCTCAGCTTCATACCGGTTGTATATCTGAATTTGTATATGGAACCATGCGTAAAGCATGACAAGTAGATGCTAGTCATCAGCCTACAACACACAAAATAAGGTCCAACAACTTTAGGCACCGCTTTTGCAAGTTGTTTAGTACAATAATGTTTTATCAAAATCTATTTCAATTTGTTTTCACCATTTTCCATTTTCCGTTCCATCCATGTTTATGTTGCTACATCTTATTGCTCATGTTCCCAAGTATTATGAAACACTTTAATGTTTCTCCTTCCTAACGTCATAACATTTCAGGTCATCACCATCATCTAATACACATAATATGATACCAAGACATATTTGTTTCGGTTTTATTGTCTATGCGATCTTAAAATTGATTTTATTAGTCTTTAAATCTTATGTCTAGTGCATATTTTCACAAACAGGGCCGTTAGCTGATATGATGAATGTGACATCCAGTTTATTATCCAGTTGACGTGCTGTTACTGCTTTTTTAAATAATAAGAGGACTGTATACGACATGTGTTTGTCTGATAACGAACTTATTTTACAATTAATATTTGAATAAGCCGTTAATATGCCAGTTGTTATAGGTATGATGGCATGGTGGCTATAGCAGACAGACTGACAACCGTTGTTACGTTCGTCACTAGGTTATTAGTAGGGTATTAGCCTTGTTGATTGTTACTATATTTTGAGGATTTCTGTGGCCAGTGGCGGACGTAATTCAAACTCCTTTCATATACTGACACCGCATCAAAGATATTTGTGTACCGATTACATAACTCTTCCTGACAGAGTGGGGTGGTAGTTCACGCGAAACGGACGACACTGTGTAAATTGACTGTCACACGACTCTTGTTAAACTTTTTGGTCAAGGTTACAACGTTCAAGGCATTCGTTAAGCTTTCAAAAAGACATAGAAGAATTTGTGGAGGACATTTCCAAATTTGACAAGTGACAAGAATGATTTCCGATGCAATTCCCTGTCTTGAATAGTACCATATGTTCCTGTATTTTTGAGGTGAACAATTGACTTGCCTTTGTATGTGTTTGAGATGGGCGCCTCCGAAGGGGCAGATCGTTGTGATCTTCAAAATCACATTTGTGGTATTAAATCGAATATTACACGAGCCTCAATTTGATTTTCCGTTTATGTCTTTCGTGAAACAATTTATATATTCATAAAAAGAAAAGAAGATACATGTGACATGCATATATAATCAAACAAACATTGAAAATAAATAATGACGATCACAGAAAATTCTACCAATTTAAAGACGCTTGTTTCTGTTTCTTGCTGTTTAATGCCACACTCAGCATAGCCCCAACATAATCACATTTGTTTGAGTGATAATTGCCCACCCAATACAAAATGGTGCACTGACGCCAGCCACCTATAGGTATAATAGGAGGGGAGTGCCACACACATATGTATCGAGGGCCCTTGGGTGCTTCTGATTTCCTTCAGCAAATCAATACAACCTGCGATTAAAAGGTAAGTATTCAACTTCAAATAGCATTGTGTACATATCCATATTTAAATTTCATGAGTAAAGCTTGTGTCTTGATGAAGTTCCATTAGCTCAGGAACATCGGACTGAGTGTCAATATGCCTAACTGCACGACAAACAAAAGCCAAAGCGTACAACTCAGTTGTACAATATCAATGTGGTATTATGTAAAACGTTGGGGATCAGTCACACAGTTCATTCAACGGTGTCGTAGAAAGATGAAGCTCCCGTGTGTACTGGTGTTGTTGGTTGTGTGTAGATCTGTGGCAGGCAGTATTGGTGAGATGAAGAGGCTGTACAAAGACCTGTTTCGGAAATACAGCCCTAAATACAGGCCCTTGTACAATCAGAGTCACCATGTTGACGTTCACTGTACACTCAACCTTCTGTCCATAATTGAAGTAGATCAGGTCCGGCAGATCCTCCAAAGCAACGTCTGGGTGAATCTGACATGGCGGGACGAGTTCCTTATCTGGAAATCTGAGAATTATAGCGGCATTAAGTCCATTCATCCTCCACTAACTGACATTTGGAGACCGAAACTCATTGTAACGGTGTCTCTGGAGGATCGGGACGTTTTCAAAGACGATACACCTGGAATCACAGTTTACAGCGACGGCACAGTAACTTGGTCACCTGGAGCAAACTTTCTCACTGCTTGTAAGTTAGATCTAACTTTATTTCCATTTGATGTTCAGACATTCGAATTCCGATTTCTTCCTGCCAGCTATGATTCAAATGAGGTTAAATTGGTCTCGTCATTGGAGACTGCAAACACCAGATCGTTCACATCCAATGGAGAATGGATTGTGTCAAGATCACGAGCATACACCCGTGAAAGACGCTTAGGTGAAAACCGAGTTTCCACCCTTTACATTGAGTTTGACTTTGAGAGACGTTCAACTTTCTTTGTCCTCAGTGTCATTCTTCCTGTCGTGGTACTTTCTTTTCTCAACGTATTCGTGTTCGCACTTCCATGTGAATGTGGCGAGAAAGTTTCGTATGCCGTCAAAAGCCTTCTCTCTCTAACTTTATTCATGAGCATCGTGAGTGGACTACTTCCAAAATCCTCCGACAATATCCCGCTGGTCACCCTGTATCTTACATGTCTCCTCGGCATCAGCGTACTCTCGGTTGTCGCCACCATCCTTATCGTCTTGAGAGATACAAGGAAGAAACCACCGTTACCATTGTTTGTGATACCACGTTTTGGGACGTTATCATTTCCTGGAAGTAAACGCAAGGATACAGACGAGATTAACACTGATGGTTTGGCTAATGATGGGAATCCTAGGGGGCGAGTGACAGGAGGTGGGAGTAGCTCTGACTCTGGTGGATACTGTATATCAGCTGACTGTTTGTGTATGGTCATGTTCATGGCTG